GGAGGCAAAGGGGAGGGGGAGGGATTCCAAGTCAAATAGCATCTCTGTGATACAGATCAAGTTCCAGAGCTACTTGCTCTTCTCCGAGTTACTCTTCCCTGTAGTAAGTCTTCACAAAAACAGAAACTACTGTGTGTCACCTCTGTAGCTGCACCGACCACCACTTTCTGTTCGTTCAGGAGATGGGAATCTGTATTCCTCAATTGCTTCACCAGCTTAATGCAATACTTCTCACACTTGGAACGCTCCAAGATCCTATTTCTAAATGGGTCCTGCTATTTTTTTGCATTTTCCCCAACCCCATTTCCAATCCCAGGCTCGGGGTGGGGACGGGCATGGGGATGGGGTGAGGCACTTACGAGTCTTTCTGGCTCCCTCTCCCCTTTCCTGAGCTGAGCTGGGCGGCTCTAATTGACCTCCAGGGTCTCAGCTGTGCTAAGTTGGGTGTTTGTTAGATCTCGTTAGACTTGTAATTAGTGCAGGGAATCTAGGTCAGAGGCAGCGGATTGGAGGGATGTGGGGGGCATGAATAAAGGCGGGGAATAGCAAACAGGTTCCCTATTCTGTGGATGGGGTGAGTCAGGGACAAGGAACCGTGGGACACAGGATCATGTGCAGAAAGGCGCGCAAACTTGTGTGTGTCCGTGTGTGTGTGTGTGTGTGTGTCTCTGTGTGTATGTGTGTGCGTGTCTGTGCCTGTGTGTGCATGTCTGTGTGTGCGTGTCTGTGCCTGTGTGTGCATGTCTGTGTGTGTGCATGTCCGTGTCTCTCTGCATATCTGTGGTATCTGTGTATCGTGTCTGTGTGTGTGCGTGTCTGCCTGTGTGCGTGTCTGTGTGCGTGTCTGCGTCTGTGTATACGTGTCTGTGTGTGTGCATGTCTGTGTGTGCGTCTGTGTGTGTGCGTGTCTCTGTGTGTGTCTGTGCGCGTCTGTGTCTGTGTGTGTGCGTGTCTGTGTGTATATGTGTGTGTGTTCGTTCAGTCCCGCATGTACTCGGGTTTCCTTCCAACCTCTCCATATATGGTATGTGTGTATGTGTGTGTGTCTGTGTGTGTCTGTGTGCCTGTGTCTGTGTGTATATGTGTGTGTATATGTGTGTGTCTGTGTGTCTGTGTGTACATGTGTGTGTTCGTTCAGTCCCGCATGTACTCGGGTATCCTTCCAACCTCTCCATATATGGCGTGTGTGTATGTGTCTGTGTGTGTGTGTCTGTGTGTACATGTGTGTGTTCGTTCAGTCCCGCGTGTACTCGGGTATCCTTCCAACCTCTCCATATATGGCGCGTGTATGTGTCTGTGTGTGTCTGTGTGTGTGTGTCTGTGTGTATATGTGTGTGTGTTCGTTGTCTCCCGCATGTACTCGGGTAGCCTTCCAACCTCTCCATATATGGCGCGGCTCTCGAGCAGGCTGAGGATTGGCTGCGGTTGTTGGGAGCCTGGGAGGTGGGAAGAACGCAGAAAAAGAACTGAACCAAGTGAAGGATGGGAGAGAGGGGGGAGGGGCTGCAGCTGAGCTCTGAGGGTCGCAGAAGGGGGCTTCGCTGGCTTGCCTGTGAGGTTTAGAAAGGGAAGAGATCCTTTGGGACTAGTTTCTGGGGAGAACGAGGTAAAATTGACTGTTGGCAGAGGGGGCTGGCAGAGCGGTGGGGAAGGAGCCCGAGCTATTCCCCAGGGTCTGCGCCCTAGGCTTTAGCACAGCATGTTTGTGAGGGCCGGGGTGGGACTTTAAAGAAACCTGTGCTTTTTTTGCCTTTTCTTTTCACCCTGAACACCTAAAGCTGTGCTGTAGGAATAACACACAGATCACTCACCAGCTTTCCCGGTCAATGGCTCGGGCGTTCTTCCTAATGGGCAGGATCAGAGCTCTGCTTCCGGCTCTCCAGACCCCTGCTTAACCACTCGGTGGGGAAGACCAGGAAAATGTAATTGAAATATGAGGCGAGCATTTAGCTCTTCATCTCCTTCTGCCCTCACCCTGTTTCAGCTCTTCGTCCTGAAATTCTCAGTCTCCCGCCCTAGGCCCTCCCGAAGGATTCTCCTTTTGCCAGTTGATGTGTGTGAGAATACAGCAGTGTTGTTGGAGGAGGGAAGGGGTGGGGAAGAACTACATCCTGAAATGTGTCTCTACAACTGCCCAGGGAGTGAGCTGCCCCAATAGCCACAGATCGCTTCCCCCTATTCAATCCGCCCATTTACCCCAAAACACAGTGACTGGGGGGAAGTAAGGGAAGTGTCACAGGTAAGGGATGGGGTGACCGAGCTGGGGGCGCAGAGGTGCTGGGTCTGGACCTAGAGAAGGGAGGATGGACATTCAGGGTGGCAAGGCATGATTCTCCTGTCACAGCGCCCGCGCCCAAAACACAGTTTACCGAAATCACGTGAGTAGCCCACCATGTAGGTAACTCTAAGCTGCTTTTCTAGTGGGAAGGCTGGCTGTATGCGAAGCTCTGAAATTCTTGAAGACATGCTTTTTCCTGCTCTTGTTCCATCTCTAGCAGTTAGCATAATTCCTGGAACTCTGTCTCCTTTGAAGAAAGGGTCACGGTACAGCCCGTGGACTGTGTCCACGCGTGAAGCCCGGGGACTAGAGCCGAGTGACAGCGATCCATCCCGTGCCCTAGGCCCTTCACGCCGCGCCTGAGCTAGCAGTTCATAGCCCGCTGAGACAACTGCCAGTTACCGAGTGCCGCAGCCATTTGTCGACGGCCAGGCATTTTCCATACCTCGCCTCTGCCCCGCCAACAACCGCATTTTACAGGTAGGAAAACTGACACTCATCTTGTGCTTTGCCCCAGGCCTCACAACCAAAACATGGCAGAGCCAGACTTGGCGCACAGATCTGATTCCCTAGCTGGGCCCATTTCACCACCTTGTGGCCCAGGGGTTCCAGCATTTAAGAGGGCTGGAAGCAATGGTTCCGGGGCGCAGCTCTTTAGTCTCCCCGAGGTCCCTGAGCTTTTCTTTTTCCCCTCACTTGCCACATTCCTCATCCTCTTAGCTTCCCTGGGAGCCACAGATAATTGACACGCTGGGATATACATGTCATTCTTGCTTTTTGTCTTTTTCCTCATTATGTGGGAGTGACAAAGAAAGAAAAGGGGAAATATTGGCAAAGTAAAGTTTGTACAAATACGGAAACTTATAAAAAGAAAGCAAATAGACTTTTAACCCAGACTTCCAATATCTGTGAAAATGCGTGGCTCTCTGACCACGTTTAGCTCTGGAAGGAGTGAAGTTTATTTGGAGGACAGGAAGGCTGGAGATCTCGGCTCCCTCACCTGCACCCCAGGAGAACCGAGGCCCAGGGTGGCCCTCACCTGACTCAAGGGATATACGTGCTTCTCAGGAAGAGGCTAGTTTAGACCGTAAGTAAAGGCTAGACAGATCTAGGGAAAATCTTCAAGACTGAGTGGTGAGGGACTGAGGGCAGGAATAGCTCTTCCCAGGACATGGGTTAGGAGTTCCTGGGTGGCGCACAGTTAAGCAATGGGTGCTAACAGAAAGGTTGGCAGTTCAAACCCACCCAGAGGTGTCTTGGAAGAAAGCCTGCTGATCTGTTTCGGAAAGGTCACAGCCATTGAAAACCCCATGTGCAGTTCTACTCTGAAACACGAGGTCACCAGGAGTCGGAACGGACTCAATGGCAGCAGCCGGTTAGAGATGGTTTTGCTTGGAGAGATTCCCCCAAGTGGGGGAGCGTCAGAGGAGGACGGGACTGAAGGGCCTGCATTTCTCCCAAAGTGCTTTCCTTCTCTCCCTTCTTGCTAAATGTCACATTAGGGCAGCCTCGTGGGCAGGGTCTACAGGCCACCTGTCTCCATTTTGTCTCCTTCTTCCCTCACGCTCAGTGGACCCTAGGTCAGGGCTCTTAGAGAGGAAGCATATCTAGGGAAGACCTCAAGAAGCAAGGGTACACTTCAGTGTTATTTTTTTCCTCCCCTCGTTTACTTGATTTATGAGGCTCTCTATCCCCTTCTTTCCAAAAATCATTCCCATCTTGCTGCCACAACTCGTCTGGACCTTATCACTGCTGCTAAAGCTGATCTTGGCAATGTCAGAGGAGAGAAGCAAACACAATGCGCTGGGCAGGATCCACCACAGACGAACACAGGTGGCCTGGCAGCTCCCGGCAGCCGGAGTCAGGAAGGGTGGTGGTGTGAGCATGTTTTTCTTTCGTCTGTCTTTATCAGTGCTGGAAAGAGGTTTGAGGGAGGAGAGGGAGAGGCTACAGGAAACCCTAGCTTAGCCGAAAGAGGAACCTGGATACGGCTGGTTTTCCCCTCCATCCTACCCAGCTTGCATCACAAATGAGTTTCATTCTCAGCTCACTTCTTCCGTGAGGTCAGCTGTCTCTAGCTCCCCTGTGCTAGGCCTCCCCGAGGCAAAGAGCACAAATCAGCTTCAGCCCTCCAGGGTTGTATCTTTGAATCAGTGCTAGAAACGGATGGGAGGTGGAGGGTAGGAACGCCCCAGGGAGGAACAGCCAGGTCAGTCAGTCTTGATGGAGGGACTGCTAGGAGAAGGCAGTGTCTGGCTGGGGAAGACTTGCATTCCACACATCCTCCTGAGGGCTGGGATAAATGCCCCCTCTCCCGTGTGCATGGACAGGTGGCCCCGGCTTCCACGTCCCTAGAGCCAGAGCTGGGCAGCTGAAATTTCACCCTGAGACTGAAAACCTGGAATGGGACAGAGGAGAAAACCCCTCCCCTCCCCCTCTCCCCTCAGAGACCTAGACATGGACCTGGGAGCGGGGTACTCCCTGCTAGGTCTCGGGGAGGGGTGCTGTGTCTAAGATGGTCAGACCGCGCTTTTATTACCCTTTCCCTATGTCCAGATGAATGCTTCTTAATCCCGCTATAGGAGTCCCCTCCTCCTCAAAACGGAGGTGATTCACATCTGAGAGAGAGGAGGCTAAGGGGGGGAAGCAGGCTGGGAGCGGAGGGTCCCAGGAGGGGAAGACATCAGCAGAGTAACAAGTCTGACTGTGTTTTTCTTTTCTTTTTTTGACTGAGGTAAATAAAAAAGCTGTATCTGGCGACACCTGGAGCTAAGAGTCTGTCCGCCCCCCAAGTCCGGGCCACCCTCTTCCCTCACATCAGGCTCTGCCGGTAGCGGCTGTGCTGGGCGCTCTGCCTGAGGTGGGGGTCTGGGGGCTGCAGGTCCACCTGTCTGTACAGGTCTCTCAGCTCCCTCACCTCCTGCAGCACCCTCTTGGCCTGGCTCCACGTCGACGACGCCTCCCCCAGCAGGCGCTCCGTCTCCAGCAGCAGCTGCTCTGACTCAGAGTCAGGGGGAGAGCCAGGGGGGTCCCTGGCCTTTCGCTTCCCGTCTCCCAGTCCGTGGACCTCGGCCAGCAGCTCCTGAGTCTTCTCCAGCTTCCTTGCGACCAGGTCCTGGATCCGGGACAGCCGCCCCGGGGCGGGGAGGACGGGGGCTGGGGGATCTCTGGCCCACAACTGGAGGGCACGGGCTGGGGCAGTGTCCCGCTGAGACAGGATCTCCTCCAGGGAGGCGCAGCGGCCTTTCTCTGTGGGGGTCAACTTCTTGGGTGCCTGAGGAGTGTAGGTGGCCCCCTTGTCTGGCTTCTCCCAGGGTCGGGGGAGGCTGCTCGCCCGGTCTGAGGGGAGCTGGATCCGGTCTGAGTCTGCTCTCCGCCGAGAACCTGCCAGCTGGGCCATCGACTTGTCCAAGTCGACCCGGAAGCTCTCAGCACAGGAGGTTGGCTCCTCAGGGGAAGGGTCTTCCTCCTGGATCAGGTCCAAGGTCAGCATCCCATCCGAGGTAGAAGTCGAAGCCTGGAGAGAAACAGGGTAGGGACGAAGGAGGTAAAGTGTCACGAGCGGGGATTTCAGGAATGACTGCCCGAAAAACAGATGTAAGCTGGGGTCGTTTGCTTCCTGCACTCCTTCCCTGAGTGAGACGCTCTCTACTCTTGCATGCTTTGCCTTTATTTATCATTTCTTATTTCTGTGAAACTAATTTGAATTTATTTCATTATTCTGTAATTTCTCCTGCTTTTTTCCCATAATATCCTGCACTTCACTACACGCTTCACGGTCCTCTGTATTGTGGACAACAAGCATCAGTTGGGTTTGACACGCATGGGACAGTCCACACCACGCAGTAACTCTCTTCTGCCACCTGCATCCTCTGAGCCATACCTCAGCCCTCTCTGCTATGTGGGACTCAGAACCTCTTGCCTTATAATAAAACTCGCTCTATATCCAGAACACTGTAATTTAAAATAACGAGAAGGGTATTTATTCAATACCTCACGAGCACTTATACATATGTTGTTTCAGCCGCTCCTCAGAGCAAACCTTCAAGGCAGGCATGCGGCTTCAGAGAACCACACAAATAGTAAATCGCGAAGTTAGATTTTCCAACTCAGGTTCTGCCGACTCCAAAGCCTATGCTTCCTCTGTGATCCCTGACTGTCTCCCTCCCTAGGAACTCAGAGCCTGGACAAATAAAGGAAACCACAACTTTGTCTGTTACAGCAACTCAGTATGATCGTTCCTCCTCCGAAAGCCCGAGGCACTCAGTGCTGTGACCCACCAGGACAGTAGCTTATAGTGTTCTGGACAATGTTCAGCACCTCTGTTTTTTTTTTTAACTTTCCTTGTGGGTGGTGTCTCATTTTCCCCCAAAGATGACAGACTTACTGAGGGCAGGGCCTTGCAGACTCACGGCAGGTGTTCCAGAACTATTTTTGATTTACAGGAATCAGGCAAAGGGGCGGGGTGAAAGATTTCTCTAGCCTTTTGACCTTGGTATCAAGAAAAGTCTCCCACATATCTCTCTGGTAATCTGTCTGAGATACAAGTCTGAGATGGATTCATATGGAATGGGCCCTCCAGCAACTTCTACTCTCTCGCAGTCTTACATACCACAGCCATGAGGTGTCCCCGAGTTGGGGGGCGACGGGAGTGCTGGATTTTTGCCCGGTCTCGGGTAGGGTGGGCAAGATAGCTGTCCTCCTCAACGGTGACCTGAAGAGATGCACTGAGAGTCATAGCTGCCCTTCAGAGCTCTCCATCCCAACCCAGCCTCCCCTGCGGCCTGAATGTGCCTGGATTGGGAAACAAACCCAGCTCATTAACTGCTTCTGGGCAAATCCTATGAGCAAGGGGTTTCCTTCCTGGACATGAAGGGGCTCCTTAAGCTGGCCCAAGGCTGGTCATACATCATAAAGAGGGGAGAGGAGTTGGCAGAAATGACTGAGAGAAGGTAGAAGGAAAAAAGAGTTCTTAAGGAGATAACGATGTAGGGCTGGTTGGTGGGGGCAAGTAAATGGGGCCTGTGAAGTACTCTAAACCCTTAGGGAGTCACAGCTGCTCCCTCATCCCCAGCATCCCTCTCCCCACAACGAGTCCCCGACCTCATCCAAGATGCGGTTCTTGGCTCGGGTGATAGCGGAGTTGAGGGCGTTGATCCACGATTCCTTCTCTTCTGGACTCACTGCCAGAAAGATCAGGTTGGGTGCCTGTGAGGGAAGATTCTCGATTCAGCCAGGGTTTGAGGGTTGGTGCCTCGCCTTGACAGTGAAGAAATAAGAAATCATAATCTCATTCTCTCAGACCCAGCTCCCAGAAGGAGCCATTCTTCTTCCCGAGTCATCTGTACATTAAGGAAGTCCAGCCTCTATCACACCAAAATGCCACAGCTCAGAGGGTGTTTTATAAAACCAAGGAGCGCTAACAGGGTACTGAATATTAGTAAGGGACTAGAGATAATCTGAGGAGATTTGGTAAAGGACAGCTACTCAAACAAAGATCTTGAAATGTCTGAAGAAACAGAACGTCACAAGAATGCCGGGAAATACATACTGTATTACCAGGCTGTTTGGAGTGGGCGAGGATGAACCTGCTATGATTTTTCCTGCTAGGTTCCCTCAAACAAGAGGTCTTAGATTCAACCACCCATCGGGGTACAGGGACTGTGATTTTCTCCCAAGAGATGCGTGCGTGTGTGCGTGCGTCTGTGAGAAAGAGAGATACGATCTTTGTGGCTGGACAGTTTAAAGGCTGGCCTGTCTGGAGGGAAGGAAACGGCTGCAATATTCCCAGGTTAAATGATAAAAGCTGACGGAGGGAGTAGTTGAGGGCATCTGAGCCAAGAAAAAGGAGCCCTGGTGGTGCAGTGCTTAAAGCGCTTGGGTGCTCACTGAAAGGCTGGTGGTTTGAACCTGCCAGCCGCTCCACTGGAGAAGGATGTGGCAGTCTGCTTCCGTGAAGATTACAGCCTTGGCAACCCTTTAGGGCAGTTCTACTCTGTCCTACAGGGTCGCTAGGAGTCCATGTTGACTCAACAGCAGTGGGTTTGGTTTTTTTTTTTTTTTTTTGGTTTGAGCCAAGAGAGCTAAGACAGAGAACCTGAAGGAGGAAGATGCTCTCCTCCCATCCCTCCCCCGGCCCACCTCCGTCAATGTTCTGGTGGCCAAGGTGGCAGGAAACACGTACCGTGTTACCGGGCTGTTTGGAGTGGGCAAGGGTGAACTTGCTATGATTTTTCTTGCTCCTGCTCTTGGATTTCCGGAGCTCTTCACACTTCTCATAGTCACTCAGGTCAAACACCTCCTGAATGTTTTTCTCATCTTTTACCTGGGGGAGGGTTGGGGTGAGGTGAGGAAGACAAGAATAGCTTAGTCCCTTCCCCCCGTAAATTGTTAGTTCAGACCAGTCACAGGAACCAGGAAGAGGCCTGAGGAGGGGGAGGGATGGCAGGACAGGAAAGAGCCGTCCTATCCAAGGCCCAAGGCCCACAAAGGCCAGACAGCGGCTGACAGGGTTGGGCCCACCACTGAGTCCTAACTCCTAAGGTGGGCTTCTGTTTAAACTCCTTATCCCCACTTGCCTCGGCTGAGAGATCACTTTCAGAGCCCCAATATGCCTCTCCTCACCCACGGTCCCCACTCTGTCCTTCAGAGGAAGTGGCTTACATGGCTAACAGGTTGATCTGATCATCCTGAACTCAGTTGGTCCCGATGGCCCTTGAGTGTCCAGAGGGAGGCGACAGAGGCATGGCCTAGACCGGGGGGCGCCTGGAAGGACTGAAGGGCTTCCTCTGGTCTCCCCAGTCCTCCGTCTATGCTGTAGCCATCTCACCTACCTCGCTGCCGCCTCTAATGTAAACTATCAGAAAGACACTCATCCACCTCGTTCACTTCAGGAGCTTCACCCCCCCAGGAACAGCAGCCCCCTTTGCAGCGGTTTGTTCGGACAAGCTGAAAAATACAACTGCAGCTCCTACCCCTTCTCACTCCCTTCCAAGGTACTGTGTCAACCCAGTCTTGAAAGGCCATTTAATTCACACACCCACCTAAAGGTAGGAAACCCTGGTGGCACAGTGGGTAAGAGCTTGGCTGCTCACCAAAAGGTTGGCAGTTCGAATCCACCAGCCGCTCCTTGGAAGCCCTATGGGGGCAGTTCTACTCTGTCCTATAGGGTTGCTATGAGTCGGAATCGACCCGACGGCAACGGGTTTGGTTTTTGGTCTATCTCTAGGTACAGATGCACTTACAGTCTCCCTGAAGGATTAGATTTCAGACTTGGAAAAAAGTATCTGCTACCTCTTTCCATTTTTTCCAGTTTGAGAGCCTAAGTCCCTTTACAGCCAGGAGGTTCCTCCCTGTGTCTAAACTTGACCCTTCCTGCTGTAGTAGCCGCCTGACACTTTGGTTCTCCCCTCAGCAGCTTCCCCCAACATTTGGGTCTTAACTCTCCTGCTGAACGTCCAATAAGAGACCACAATTCTGTTGATACCCTCCACTGCCAGCCAGCCTTTTCCGAACATCACAAAGCACATTCCATTAACCTTTCTTCCAAGGTCCACTGCCAACCTCCCAGAATTCCTCCTCCTCTCCCCTGAGGGGTCCCCTCTAGGCCTGGCGCTCTGAAGCTGTGCAAGGATCAAAGTTAGAGAGAGGAGACCAAGTTACCAGCCAAGGAGCAGTCTCCGATCAGAAAACGTGCTCACCCTCTGCTACCTGAGCCTGAGGTTGGAAGGTTCTGGGAATGAGCTGTCCTGTCTTCCTGGGACGGGAGATGGAAACCACCAGGACTTGTCTTACTGAAACTAAGGAAGCAGATCAAAGCAGCCTCATGCCTTTCTGGAAGACACCCACCCTTCCCGACCGGAATCCTTCACAAAGGAGCCCCAGTGGAATGATTTGGACAAGAAGAGCGAGAAAGGCTGTACAACGTGAAGAATGGAATCAATGTCACTGAATTGTACGTGTAGAAATTGTTGAGATGGTGTGTTTTGTTATGCATATTTTCACCACACTGAGAAACAAAACAAGACTCTGAAATAGGAATCATGTGTGGTATGGAGGTGACCTCATTGCTCCTCCTGGTTCTCATCAGCCTTGATGTGAGGAAGTTCTCTCTTCCATTCCCAGCCCATCTACAGTCTCGAGTCTGCCCATCTTTCTGAATTGCTGCTGGACCCAGGGAGCTGACAGAGACTAGGACAGATGATCACACGGCCCCCTGCAGCTGAACGCCTGCTTGACGATTAGTTTCATCATGGTGTGGCTCTTCCAAGGCTCCCCGGATTGGGGCTAGGAAATGAGCAGCGGCCTTGGAGGATTACGGGGACAAGATGTTGGTAAGGGGCATCCCAGAAACATGGGGCAGGGATGTAGGAAGACGCATCATCCCTCCTCTTCCCCTCCTTCCCCAGAGTTGAGATTATCAGCAGAGGCCAGAAATCTTGGAGAGGAAAGTGCTGGATGTGGGTAGTAGCCACGGGAAGAGAGTTACTTGTTCTGTTTCCCTCAGGGGAAGGGAAGGGAAGGAAGGTTATTCTGGCGTGGACACCAGCTGATAAGGAGCTCTGGGGAGCAAGGGACATTGACAGGGGTCAGCCTTCGGCAGGGCAGGGGCAGGAGGCGAGGCGAGGCAAACAGCAGGACAAGTATACTCCAGTGCCAGGGGAAGTTGGTCCATCCAGAAGCCTCTCCTTCACTGTCTGTCGTCTGTTCCATTTTCCCTCCTTCTAATTCCCAAAGAAGGAGCCCTGGTGGCACAGTGGTTAAAGTACTCGGCTGTTAACTGAAAGGTCGGCGGTTTGAAAAACGCCAGCCACTCCGAGGGAGAAAGATGTGGCAGTCTGCTTCCGCAGAAGATTTACAACCTTGGAAACCCTATAGAGCAGTTCTACTCTGCCTTATAGGGTCTCGATGAGTTGGAATCGACTCCACAGCAACAGATTAATTCCGAAAGCCTCATTTATAATCACTCATCTGCTGAAGTTAACCCTTCCTTTTCCCTGATTCTTTGTTCTTGACCCACAGAAAGAGATGTTTTCCATGGTTGTCAAAAAAGATGCCCTGAACCCAATTTCTTCCACCATGACATCTTCCTAAAGTCTAGCTTCTGTTCCTACACATCAACCCCAAGATCATGAAGCACCCCGGCCCTCTCTGGAAGAGGGTGCCCTTTGAGAATTAGGAAAGCAACTGTTAACAACATGAAGAGTTCTTTGGTGGAGGCAGGTGTAGGAAATCCTGCCTTTATGAGGGGAAGTAACAAGAAAGATTGGAGCAAATTCTGTGAAAGTGGGTTAAGAATTTTTTTACATTAATGCATAAATTAGAAGTATTATGCATTTTAAAAAGTCTTGAAACCATTGGCTCTGGTGCTTTGGAAGCGGGCGGCATAAAGCCTGCAGTCCCCTATGATTTCACCTTTAACCCAGGCCCACTGGGGCACGGAAACCGCTCCAATAGGTTTGTTCCTCTTTGCATAGGCCTTTCCCAGCAGGGGGCAGGGGGCCCCACGACCAGTCAGATGCTCCTTACTCACAGGACACGAGACATCCTGGGCTGAGGTCATTCCATCCTTTCCCCTGCCTCCGTATCCCTTCCTCCACAAACAAGGGTCAAGCGTACTCTTTTGCCCCCAGACTGCTCTTTGGGGAAACATGAACAAGAAAGAAGTTCTGTTTCTTCTACCGTTACAGTGTTCTCAAGCTTTGCCTCTGACGTGATTGCTCCCTGAAGTTTCCTCCCATTATGACATTCAGAGAAGAAAGGAGATACCCTTTGACACTTGTTTTTTAAACGGGAAAGTCGGAAATTGTGGAGAAAACCTTCTTTAGAACTTATGATCAGTAGAGGTGACCCTTAGAAATAAATCCTCCTGCCAAAGTCCTCTCACCCCACTCCTGAGACTCTCCGTTACCAAGTTCCTAGTTTAGTGCCAACAGCTAGGTTTCAACGCCCCCAAGAGGGATGGCTTTGGCCCTGAATCGCTCAGTGTTCCCCTCACTGCCTCAGTAGATGTTCTTTTCAGATGAGTACTTCCCCTGGACTTCATTTGTGTGCCTGTTTCGATACCATAAAAGGATTTATTTACGTACACAGGATCTCCCGAGTGTCCACCACAGGAGGCAGAAGATGTGAGAACTGAGGGAGGACTTTCCAGTTAGCCCTGGGTGAGGGAACACAGAACTGGAGAGAGGAAGGGCTGTGCTGGGGATCACAGGATAGTCTGCTAGGGCTACGGGGACACAGCCACAGAGGGAGGGCCTGAAGGAATTTCTGTCCCCTAGAGGGGCAACTGCAATTTCTCAGCATACCTCACATTATTGATCCCAAGAGTGAGGGACAGAAGGGAGAAGAGAACCGATTCAGTGATCTGGACTCAGGTTCTGATCCGATGTGGACTGTGGTCTTCATTTTAACTGCAGAGTCAGAGTTATCCAGAGACACACAGTGGTCCCTAACTCCATGTTCACCCCCTTCTGGTTCAAATGGGGGCAGGAAGGGAGTGAAGAATGAATTCCTTTATTTTTTTTAAAGTGGAGCTGGGTGAGGAATAGCAAGCCCATTACTTAGGGACTTTTGTAAGAGAAATAACTGCCTGCCGCTCACAGATACCCTACCCGAGGTCATTCGTGACTGACCCTGGGCTCTATGTGTGTTTTCACGCGATGTCTGCTATGATTCAGGGAGGCTGAGCGGCTGATCTGACCTGTGCACGCCCCCGCTGGAGGCAGGAAAGGGGAGGCTAGCCAGGCTGGGCTGGGGGACAGGACGGGGTGGAGAATAAACTGAACAGAGTGTCTCGGCAGCAACAGCAAAGAAAAATATCCTGTGTGCAGCCAGAGGCCAGGACAGGGTGGGGGGCAGCAGGGCCACTTAGAGCTTCTGGGACACCTGGGAGGGCATTATCACTGTTGTCAGACGGGTATTTGCAAACAATAACATTAAATAAGAGGCAAACTCAACTTCTGATTCTCACTCAGGACGTCTCACTAAAGGGTGACCTTGCTCTGCAGATGAGACAGAGGAGACACAAATCCCACCCTCGAACTTGCTTCAGGAACAAACTGGGAGCAGGCGCGACTAGAGGCAGCTGCGTCTCCGTGTGGAGAAGCGAAGTGTGGGCCACGAGAAAACGCAGTCAGGGCGAGGGGCGCCTACCTCCTTCTCGGAGATGTACAGCTGGTCCCCTTTCAGCACCACATAGCGGTTTCTCCAAATCTCCCTGAAAATCCCTTTCCCGCAGAATTTCCGGACCCAGCCGACCTTCTCGGGCGGTGCAGACTGATGGTTTCCATCCTGAGGCCCCTGCCCAGGGGCAAGATAAGAAGCGTCTGCTGAGGCGATTACTGCTTTCTCCTCCTCTCCGGTCCCCCTCTCACGACCCTCCTCAGTCCCCTCTCTCCGCCCTTCCCCTGACCGCCCCCCGGGGCTGGAGTCGGGGAGCCAAAGGTTCGGTCCCCACTTCTTGAAACGCTTCCACTCTGAGGAACTCTCTCCCGCCGCTCCCCTCCCCCTCCCAAATAAACAACTGGTACCGCGGGGAGCAGGGGCTGGGCCGGCGGGGAGAGGGGCTCCCGGGTTTGGGTCCTGGACCCCGCCCCTCCGCAGCCCCCTCCCCCAGCCGCGGATTCACGGCATTTTATTTTATTTCTCATTGTCCTCTCGCCACCGCAGAGCGCGCTGCCAACGGCGCCCGTCGCCCAGGGCCCGCGGAGGGCGGGGGTCGGCAGAGGCCAAGTTAAACCCCCAAACCCAGAAACCGACCCCAGCCCGCCGCGCCTCCGCTGAGGGGCCCCCCCAGGCCGCCGGGTCCTCGGAGCACAAAGTCCGCCGCAGGCGCGGCGCCGGGGGCGCACTCACCCGCTTGCTGGAGTTGTTCTTCTTCATCCTGCCCGGCGGGCGCGGGGAAGGGGCCCTGGGAGCTGCGAGGGGGCGCCTTCCCGGGGGAGGGAGTCGGAGCTGCCCCCGGCGCCGCCGCTCCTCCTCGCCCGGACGCTCCCCCCTCGCCGGCTCCGGTTACACTGAAGGCCGGCCCCCCGCGCTCGCTCGCACGCACGCCCGCTCCCC